AATCTATGCAGTGTACACACATAGTCATTTGTTAATAACTATTCATTCTATGCTTTTTATTTTCTGCTTATCAATGTTCATCTTAGTTGAGCTCCCAAAGGGCAAGAAGGCATATTGCTAATTCTCCTAATATAGTACCCAGCAAGATGGCATGATTAGATCACTAGTTCTGGGGTAATTAAAAATATTTTTTCCTTTGACAATAGTTCTTATTCAATCAAGCCAAAATCAGTCTGTGTACCGGAGAACCATTCTGGGGTTTTGATCAAAAAACAAAAAACACAGATTTTAATCTCTTTCCTGAAAATACCCTAAAACAGGAACAGTGCTGTTTTTATAAATCTGCTTTCTCAAATGCAATTCAGCTACCATCCCCAGATTAATTTTTATAGCTATAAAAAAACATGTACATAAGAACAAAGGCTGGATAGATCCTGAAAAGTGGAGGGGCGGGGAGGATAGGTTGGTATAAATTATTTTACATGACTTTTTCTTTCATTTGGATTTCTAGAATTCTCTCTCTCTTTTTAAGATTTTTATTTTTAAGTAATCTCTGCACCTATTGTGGGGCTCACAACCGCGAGATCAAGAGTCACACGCACCATTGACTGAGCAAGCTAGGCGCCACTCTAGAATTATTTCTTGAACAATAATTTTTTATGAGCTTAGAGTAAAAAAAAAAATTCACCCATTTCTTCCACGATAGGGCTATTGGACTGGCAGTTGTTTGAGACAACATGGTCTTGAAGAAATCTCCAGCCCAGGTCTTAATTGTTTTCCTCCCTAGTGTCTTCCTTCCCTGTTTCACTGATGCACTTAACCATGAAAAGTGGGAAAGGCCCAGCCAGCTCTCTAGGAGCCAATGAACTGATCCTATGAGCCCATTTCATTTTGTTTTTCTAAGATTTTATTTATTTATTTGAGAGAGAGAGAGCACACGCAGGGGCAATGGCAGAGGGGGGAGCAGGCTCCCCACTGAGCAGGGAGTCCAATGCAGGACTCGATCCCAGGACCCTGATAATGACCTGAGCCAAAGGAAGACGCTTACCCGACTGAGCCACGCAGGCGCCCGCTACAGGAGCCCATTTTAAAGCTGGGGACATCAAGGCTCAGAGATTATCACAGCATCTTGGCGTTAGAATGGACCTTGAGGGTATCTCATCCAAGCCTTTTGCCCTATACCTTCAATCCCACCACTCGATGATGGGAGAGGTTAAAATTACAGCCCAAGTTTACAAACCTTGTGAATGGCAGAGCCAGAACTCAAGCCGGTGGTTCTAACACAGAGCTTTTCCCAAGCTGCCTTTGTACCAGCTTGGGCTCTTCTTGCCTGCATGAGAGAAAGCCACCCAAGAGTGAATTGCGGATAACTGATGGGGCTACAGAGATCTACATAGCAATTCTGCCTTCGGGCTTCCTCGTTGGCCCTGCTGAAGACCTCCGGAGAGCTACTCCATTCAGAAAGGTTCTTCCCTTTCCCTAGTTCTGGGAGTGATCCTGCCAGGGGGGTCTGACCTGTGTACCTCCAGGCAGGCTTGTGTTCCCAGCAGCTTTTGACTTTGAACACCACTCCATGCTCTTAAATCCAGTCCAAGATCTGGCCCTAGAAAAGGGTAGAGAAGGATTGTGTGCTCAGGGAAATCCCGACTTCATCATGGGACCTGGAAAATCTTCCATTGATTTTTCTTAGCAGGCATCCAATTTTTCCAAACCCAGGATAAAACCCACATATTTACAATGTGTAACTCCTGGCCAAAGTTCTTCACCAGCCACTTCTTAACCCTTGAGGGTTCCGGGATGACATCTCTGGCCCGGGGTCAGCCTTTCAACTGCCTTTCCAGCTCTTGGCGTTTATATTTTTCTCCTTTTCAGTAGACAAAAAGGAAGGAAGGAAGGAAGGAAGGAAGGAAGGAAGGAAGGAAGGAAGGAAGGATAGGAGGGAGGGATGAAAAGGAAAAAGGAAAGGGGAAAAGAAGAAATTACAATTTGTGATACTCAACCTCAAGAACACGCTTGATAGAAGGTTTTCATTAGGGGTGCCTGCGTGGCTCAGTGGGTTAAAGCCTCTGCCTTCTGCTCAGGTCATGATCCCAGGGTCCTGGAATCGAGCCCCACATCGGGCTCTCTGCTCAGTGGCGAGCCTGCTTCCCCTTCTCTCTCTGCCTGCCTCTCTGCCTACTTGTGATTTCTCTCTCTGTCAAATAAATAAAGAAATTTAAAAAAAAAAAAAAAGAAGGTTTTCATTACTAAATAGAGTAACCTGTTCATGGCACTGTCACTTCTGAAAGCGTTGAAAATGCTCCTTGTGGTGACTCTTTTATCTCTCCCATAAAAACCCATTATCTGGATCAGGGCTGAAAAACAGCAAGTACGCTTCTTTGTAATTTCCCGGCATTTATTTGGGGTGGAGATGATTAGAGGCACAGCTAATTGCTAGTAATATAAACCCTAAAATTGGAGCCCCTCGGGGGTTTTTATGCTACTCAACAGAGTGCTTTTGTGGTGGGTTTTTGAGCACAGACACATCTCCTTTCTTTTTGCACACAGAGCTTTCTTTGACATACAAGCCAAAAATTTACTTGAGGCAACCTAGGGAGTATAAGAGAGAATGTCTGTTTGTTTGGTTTTTCAAAACACTGAACACTACCGAGTATCCTTACAGCATAAAGTAGGTATGTTCCATATAGGACAGCTGAACATAGGCATTTGTTAAGTAGGAAGTGAGCACAACGTGCTTTTTAAATTCACTTAAAATATTTTGAATCCTTGGCGTTCTGAACCACTCTGGAATCTCTAACCCTAGGTTTTGAAATATGAACCAGGCAGGATTGATACTGAGCTTTTTTTTTTTTCTTTTTTTGGTCTTAGCTACAATTTGAGAAATGTTTATGTATATGTCTGTTCCGATAATTAAAAATGGCTGATCAGACATACATTTAGAAATGCATACCTAAAATAAAGAGATCAAGACAACGATGGAACAGGTAGGAAAATAAAATTAAGCCAAGGATAAGGTCACTATGCAGATACACGAGATTCCTTTATTTGGCCCTACTAAGAGGCATTGGAAGTGTACCTGAATTTAAATGAAAACTCTAGTATTGATTATAATTCACACGTCTCTTTGTTGCCCTAGAGTTCGTAACTATGCCTGAGCCACTGTAAATTTTCACGGACTGATTGAATCTGTAAAGGAGCAGACCCAGTAAGGTCCTCCTTGAGTCTTTCTGCTGTAGCTGTTTTATCTCTCATTAGCCTGTCATCCTCAGACACTGATGAAGGAAAAAAGATGTGCAAGTCATCCCAGCCCATCTTATGTCTCGGTTTAAAAAACATGGGGGTGTGGTGGGGCTCCTGGCTGGCTCATTTGAAAGAGCATGTGACTTGATCTCGGGGTTGTAAGTTTGAGCCCCAGGTAGGGTGGAGAGATTGGTTAAAAGAAATAAATAATTAAAAAAAAAAAACAGAAGTAAGAAATATAAAAGGGGGGCACCTGGGTGGCCCAGTCGATTAAGCATCTGACTCTCGGTTTCAGCTCAGGTAGTGGTCTCAGGGTCGTGAGGTTGAGCCCCACATGGGGCTCCATGCTTAGCGCACAGCCTGCTTGAGATTCTCTCTCTCCCCCTCTCCCTGCTCATGCTCTCTCTCTCTCTCTAATTAAATAAATAAAATCTTTAAAAATATAAAAGGGCGGTGTTGCAAAGGGTCAATGTGTGGGGATCAGAAGGAGTAAGGCAGTTAGATGTTGGGACTATTTGGAAGAGGATAAGTAAGAAAAGTTTGTGATTTGTAGTTATCAAAACCAGCCCCAGAAAGAATTCCTGTAGATGTCTTGTGCAGGCAAGCTTTCAAAACTTGAACAACATGGGTTTAACCTGTGCGAATCCATGCACACGGGGATATTTTTTTCAATAAATGCGGTCAGGCATTGTAAATGTCTTTTCCTTGTGACTTTCTTAATAACATTTTCTTTTCTCTAGTTTAGTTTATTGTAAGATTCCAGCTCACAGTACGTATAACATACAAAATGCACGTTGATTGACTGTTTATGTTCTGGGTAAGGCTCTCCGTGAACAGCAGGCTCTTAGTAGTTTTGTTTTTGTGGAGACAGAAGTTATATGCGGATTCTGACTGTGTGGGGATTGGTGCCCCGAGCCCCAGCATTGTTGAGGGGTCCACTGTGTAACATTTCTTGATTTCGAACACTTCCCTACAGCCCCAATCTCCAAGGCACTCAGGTTCAGTAACTTCATCAAAAGCCTCTTGATCAGGCCAATTTGGACACGTCATCGTCTAGAAATAGCCAACACGGAATGGAGAGCATTAGACCTACCGTCGTTCAACAACATGTAAATATATCAAACCAAAGGAACCTTATGTTGCTATTAAAATCACAAAAGGTGCATAAACAGAGAGTATCATGGAAAGAGTATTTATGAGAAAATGAGAAAATTAAACACTGATATGTAAACTATAGAATGTGAAACACCTGGGGCGCCTGGCTGGCTGGTGAGTTGGAAGAATGTATGAGTCTTGATCTCAGGGTGGTGAGTTCGAGCCCAAGTTGGGGGTAGAAATTACTTTAAAAAAATAAAAATAAAATGTAAGATGCCTAAGGTAGACAAAGACTAAGGGAAGTGTGTAAAAACAAAGTAGTTATATTGGGTTGACAAAGATGATGTATTTCTTTTCCTTCTCATAGTGTTTTTTGATGTTTTGTCATTATAAGTAATATAACTGGAGGAGAAAAGAAATAAAAACCAAAACTTTCATGTGAAGAATATTTTTACAAACCCACTGAATAATGTGTACTTTGTGTTCATTAAAATGTGATTTGTTTTTTGAGTCTAACATTTACAGAATTGTGGAAGAGAACCTAAATTGTTTTTCTTGCCAGTAAAATGTGGTTGGGGGTTGAGGGGATATTTTTCCATAGAGATGTATACAGAAGAACTCAATGCTGGTTTTCTTTTCTTCTTTCTAATCTTTGTCTTTCTTAGGGATCACCATAGGAGTCTTGGTTCGAGAATACGGCAAGCTCTCTAGTCTGGAGAAATTCTACTTCGCTTTTCCTGGGGAAATCCTAATGAGGATGCTGAAGCTCATCATTTTGCCATTAATTATATCCAGCATGATTACAGGTACCTTAAGAAAACTGATGGTTCTCTGTGATTATTTAAGGAGCTGTCTGTTAAGTTGTTCTTTTCTAATTATGGGAAATATTGAAAAGCATTTGAGCATCACACGCACACACACATACTCCTTACTTGGAAAGTGTATATTTGCTTGAGTGGAAATATTTTATTACTCACAGGGTGGCATGGCTCTGCCTAGGGCCCTGTCCTTCATTGCTCGAATCTTCATTTGGCCATCAATGTGGTGTCTTGGGGGGGAAGATGCCATTTTCAAGCATATTATAAATAAAATTCTACCCAGGGCACAGGACATTAAAAAAAAAAAAAAAACAAACCTGCCTACATATTTGGTCACTGAAATGTCAGCCAGTGTCCCCAGGCGAAATGTGGGTGTCAGTTTTGATGTTATTTTGAGTAGTTCACTCATCTGTTTCCCAACTGCCACCATGCCCCGCCCCAACCTCTATGAGCCTGCCCTCTTGAGTCTCTCTGCCTTCCTCACTCCTCCTCCACAGCTCCATATGCCTGCCCTGAAAACTTACAGCCCCACGCTGTGGGAAACGTTTAAGGATGGGTTTACACCATATTTTGAAAGCCTAGTATTTTAAAATCCGAACTTGTGACCCAGTTGGGTTTGGAAATGCTTATTCCCTTCATGGTCACTGTGTTGCAGGGTCCCTTTAAAAAGCAAGCTTCCCTCTGGAGGTAGAAATTAATTTGGCTTACAAAAATGTCATTGGTCTGGATGTGGCAAGCTTCGCAGTGCATTCTGTAGTTTCTTGTGCTTATCTTAATTCTGCCACTAAGTAAAATGTGGCCTGATGGGTCGCTAGTGTGGTCAGGTTAAAAATCAAGGTTTTCCATAATCATGCAATTAGGATTCTTGGCATGTCCTCTTCTAGAATCCACCCCCCCCCCCCGCCCAAAACCCTGCTACCACTAGAAAGACTTGGGGCTGATATATGTAGAGTTCTGGACGTTGGCTCAGGAAAGGGAGGGTGGGTGTCAGGATCTGCTGTACTCAGCAGCCGAGTTGCTTGAAAAGCTGTAGATTTGGCTGTTGAACTTCCCAAGTGCCAAACTCCAGTCAGACTAGAATCCCCTGAGAGCTTTGTCCTTAAATGGTCTTGGTCTTCTTGGCTTATTACAAGCCTGAAAAGAACATTTCATTATTTTTATGTATATATTTAATATGCTTTGAAACACCTGGTCTCTGTTAGACCCTGCAACCTGGGGGCCAAATCAGTAGGCCAGTGGTTTAGACCATGGACGATTTATCTGTTCAACTTTAAATTAGCAGAAGCGTTTAAAATTTGGAAGATTTCATGTAAGCACCCAGATTTCCAGGTTCCTCTGAAAAGAATTGAGATCAGGAAACACTGGACCCGTGTCCCTCCAAGGACCAACCAAGATGGCTATTCTGTTTAGTTGAAGCAAATACATTGGAGGATCCCAAGGCCCCTACCTCTCCCTAGCCTCTGATACCCCGTCCACTGCATTCGTTTACATTTTCTCCTGGCCCCATAGCTGTTGGCTTTATAATCCCAGAGCATTTTCTCCACATCAAGATTCTAAATCTTTTCTTAGGCTCCTTTGAGAACATGATGAAAGCTTTGGACTTTCTCCCAAGAAAAATGTTCACGGTTGTATGTACAATACCATATTTTGCATGCAGTTGTACAAGGTACATAAATCACTTCACCAATACCATTTAAAACTGGGGCCTATGGCAGGGGGCACCTGGGTGTCTCAGTTGGTTGAGCTCCAATTCTTGCTTTTGGCTCAGGTTATGATCTCGGGGTCGTGGGATTGAGCCCCACAGCAGACTCCATGCCGCTGAGTATGGAGCCTGCTTGGGAGTCTCTCTCCACCCCTCCCCTGCTCGCTCACACTTTCTCCCTCTTAAAGATAAAAAAATAGATAAAATAAACAAATAAATAAAACTTGGGCCTATGGAAGAATGTATGGAAAGTTGATCCAAATTAGGCAGCAAATTCAAAACTTGTGCATTTAACCAGGTTTTAGAAGAAAAGGTAAAAATGCATGTACGAATACACTCGTATAATATCAGATGTTGAAATATGTACCACTCTTGGCAGCCAGTAACTGGTGGTGTTTTTGCAGTCTGGGTGTTTTGTGTGCTAGTTCAGCCTTGCAGATAATCTAGGAGAATAATTGGCAACCATCAGCACTCTGCTCACATAGCACAGCTGCCTTCTAGAGCGGTAGCACAGGTCTGGACATTTCTACATTTTTTTCTTTAGCAAAACCCCCAGCAGGGAAATAGGAGTAAGAGAGAGACCGAAACCGCTACCCAAAGGGACGTGAATAAAACAGTCTGGGAACAGTGATGCCATGTTCCTGATTTAAATTTGTCAGTTTAAAGGGGAAACATAATATTACTAGTGTTGGCAAGGGTGTGGGAAAGCAGGCTCATCCATACCTTGTCGATTATTAACTGGAACAAACTTTTGGGGGTGCAGCTTGGAACATATCCTGATCTCTCCCCACTTGGTAATTGGACTTCTCAGAATTTCTTGTAAATAGTCAGAGATCTGTTCAAAGGTTTAGGTATAAGAATGTTCATGGTAGCATATTTTTTATAATGGTGGTGAATTATAAGCAATCTAAATGTACGTTTTACCCCCAAGTTATGATTCTCTGCAACCGTTAGAAACCTTGTTTTGGAAACACTTAATGACATGTGGTTATGTCCTCACACGGTATAAATAAGGAAGATAAAAATAAATTATACAACAGGATGCTGTGTACAATCCGAAATTTATTAAAATTTATGTGCATTTTTAAATGTTGGGACACACACCAAACAGTTAATGATGGTTAGATCAGGGTAGTAAGGAAACATGACTCATTGTGCTTTCTTTACATTTTCAAGGCAAACACGTGTGTGTTATTTTTGTTTGGTTGGTTTTGTATTTTCTTTCTCTCTTCCTCCCTCTCTCTCTTTCTCCCTGTCTCCCTCTTTCTTTCTTTTTTAAGAAAAAAAAAAGGGGGGCGGTGCCTGGGTGACTCAGTGGGTTAAGCATCTGCCTTTGGCTCAGGTCATGATCTTGGGGTCCTGGGATCGAGTCCCCACATTGGGCTCCTTGCCTAGTGGGGAGTCTGCTTCTCCCTCTGTCTCTTCCCGTGCTCATGCTCTCGCTCGCTCGCTCTCTGTCTCTCTCTCTCTCACATGCTCCCTCTTCTTCTCAAATAAAAAAGAAAGAAAGAAAAAAGAATGGGATGGGTTCTGCTCTGTGCTCCTCCTGCTGAGCCTCTGGCAGGGTCCTGCTCCCCTCCTCCCCGGCTGTGTTCCCAGGCTCCTGCAGCTCCTCACCACCTTTTCCCTGGTGCCCCATCCACCCCCAACCCTGCAGGGGTCCTCAGCCTCCCTCCCCCACCCAGCAGGGAGCCAGCAGGGGAGAGCACAGGACTCCTATGGAAATATGAAAGAAGAGCCCTTTTTACATCCAAATACCTTTATAAACCCAGCAGATCAATAACTTATTTTATACACTTACTAGGACAAAGGAAGATGGATGTTGGAAGATGGGGAGAGTGAAACGAATGCCCTTAGCATACACAAATTAGAAATAGAAATAAAAATTGAGACCTGCGACTAGTAAACTGTGGTTCTGCATAAAGGAAACTCTCTTGACGAATTAACAAAGGGGGAAAAAAACCCTCTGCCATCAAAGCCTCAGCTGACATAAAAATACATAATTTATAGCTATTTTTTTTTTAAACAGAAGGAGGCTTCTTCATGTGACAAAGAGGGTAAGATGTCACATTAATCGGGGAAATTTGAATATAGGCTGGGTGTTAGATGGTATCAAGAAATTGTTGATAAATTTTCTTAGTGGGGGTGATGGCAGTTAGTTACATAAGAAAATGTCCTTTTTGATGTGTATGGAATTATGTAGGGATAAGATGACAGAATGTCTACAATTTAGTTAAGGTAAAAGAGAAGGCAGAGTAGACAAAATCTCAAGACATTTTCAGAGACAGGCAGTGTAGGCACTAACAGAATCCTTCCCGTAATTTACATCCTGAGGGACACACCTGTGATGATCAGACTGTTAACATTTAGGTTTCTAAGCTGTATTTGTAGCAGACCACCAGGAGAGTAGCAAGGGAAGTGGTGTATGCAGGTGCCCCAGGACTGTGGCTCTGGAAAATCCTGGTCCAGGTCTCACCAACCACTGAGTTTAAATTCAGAGAACGTTTTCCTTGATGCACAAATGATGATGACTTGAGCCTCCGAGGACCAGCGTGGGAAAGGCAATGGCCTCTCAACAGTCGCTTCCAGAGGTTCCTTGAGCATCTTTCCAAGATGGCGCCCCAGCTGTGCTCAGGCAGAGTTCCCCATCTCTTCCACTCCAGCCTCTCTGCCCCCACCACCGGGGCCAGAAGTGCTCTGCCAGGCACAGCGGCACCCTTGCCCCGGTGTCTCCTGTACCTGCCCCTCTGACCCTGAGGACCTACCCTTGTGCCCCTCTAGCCTAAAACAGGAATGAGAACATAATTCTTCATAGCATAGCTGAGCCCAGGCTGTTCCTTGGAACAAAGCTTTATGAAAGGTTGGGGAGTGAAAGTAGGGGAAACACCGGTAGTTACACCAGGTGCTCCCCAGTGAAGGTCTTCTGAGAGTTCCAGGGCCTTAAGAGGGCTGCCCCTTTGCTTAGCTGCCAGCCTAGTCCTTCCTCCACATGACGATGTTCCAGATATTGCCATGCCCCCAGCCTCACCCCTTGACACTAGGTTTTGAAAAGGACAGATTTCACCATCACACAGTGATAGTGAGTGTCCTGGTCCAGGGGAAACCTCTCCCTGGGAGGACCACCATCGAGCAATATCCACTTTGGAGGAAACCTTCCTCATGGCTGCAGAGGGATGGTCTGCCTTGGGGACCCCATCAGGAGACTCACACTGGAATGCATGCCATTAGTGCCTGCCGGGTGGGGGCACAGCCGCCCAACTCGCAAGAATAGGGAGTCTGTCCAGGC